ATCTCTACTAGACACATTAAATTGAAATATAGGAAGTGCATGAACGACTAGTTCTTCTAATTTTATGACAGGTATTTCTAACAAAAACTTGGGTGTGAGCAAATGCCAAAATCATGAAAAGATTCTCTGATAAGATGTTTTGCAATGTGTGGCATGATGTATATTACAGAAGATAGTTTTGGGTGATGGCTCAGAAGCATTAAAATATATTAAATTACACAAGGAAAAAGTTATTCCTCTTCAAGTTCATTTCATTCTTCCTTATTACCCCTAGGGAAAACTCTCAGTTGCTGCTGGTCTTCCGGTAGTCCTCTAAACAGGGAGAATGCCACAAGCTTAAATACCAGGAAAGAGGTTCAGTTTGAATTGTTTTCCAATATTTTCTTTGTTTTCATTAGATTTACTTTTATAGGTACATTCGATGTTTAGCAAGTGATGCCTGTCTCCAGTTTTATGGTATGACAGAAAGTCCTTTTTCTTAAAAAAATTAATTTTAAGAAAGTAAATTGATTAAAACGTAAGAAATACTGGCACAGGTAATGCCAAGGTCTTGTAAACACTACAATGGTAGTTCAGGATGACAGAACTTTGGAATCACTGACCCGATATTTATTTAAATTATGGAGCACAAGCAATTCCCAGAAGCTGATGTCTAATTGGTTCATCTCAGTTCTAAATCTTGACCTGAAATAACTAAGAAGTAGAGGGAGGGGTGAAACCTGAGATGCCAATGTGCTCCCTCCTCTGTCTGACTCTCTCTCCCTCCCTCCCTATTCAGCTTTTCAGTATACGTGCTTCTCCTTCAACTGTTCCTCAGTGCCAGAATTTCACCAGGAGACGGGGGAGTCCTGTTTTATGGGCAATGGAAATAAGCTCAATGTAATAATTTTAATTAAAAACTTATTTTCATCACACCCACAGAGATATTTGATCCACGCTACTGAAAACATCTCTAAGTTCAAAGGACTATAATGTCAAATCAATTAGCTTTGCAGGTATATGATAGTGAGTATAACATCAGTTATTTGACAGAGAAATTATGGGATGGTCTTCGATGGAAACCACAGTGTGTACTTTTAAATGACGTGAGCTTTAGCAAAAATTAGACAGACAGACAGACAGACCGGTGTACACATACCATGCATATATTCATATTATGCAACACGAGGGCACTCACTGTAGACGAGGTGGCGTGCTTGTTGCTGTAGGGGATGCACAGGTAAGTAAAGAAAGGGCCTCGTCTGGAAGGTACCCCAAAAGACAACATATATAAACTTCCCAGCACAGAGAGAGTGCTAAATAAATGTTAGTTCTCTTACCCCACTTTCTCCCTTCCACATTCCGTTCTTACTACAAAATGAAAGAGCCTCTTGCCCTGACTGGTGTGGCTTAGTGGATTGACCGCCCGCCTGTGAAACGAAAAGGTCGCTGGTTCAACTCCTGTCAGGGCACCTGCCTGGGTTGCGGGCTAGGTCCCCACTGCGGGTCCACGAGGGCTACCTGATGGATGTTTCTCTCCTCTTGCACATCAGTATTTCTCTCTCCCTGCCTTCTCCCTTCCTCTTTCTAAAAACAAATACATAAATAAACCTTTTAAAAAAGAAATACAGATTGGTAGTTACAAAATTGTCATGGGGATATAAATTACAGCATAGGGAATATAATCAGTAACATTGTAACAACTGTATGGTACCAGGTGGGTGCTGGAAGTAAAATATGGGTAGGGGGGGCACTTAGAAAAAGAGCCTTGTGAGTTCCTTTTACGTAAACTGAAAACTGCAGGAACCCCAGAATCCTTTCAACACTGAAGTCATTTAACAACATGTACAAAAGATTTAACTCAACTAAAGCCAGGATTTTCAGAGTAAATAGTTTTGTAGCCCTGTTTGTTATCCTGGCTTAAGACTGGCTGGAGGAAAGCTATTGGAAAGCAAGGCAGAGGCCACCCCATGGGAGGCTAACCCGGCAAATGCTAGGAACTGTATGTCCCCACACCAAGCCCCATCCTGATGTCACCCTACACTGCCAGTCCTGGCAGCTATCACCATGCAGGTCTGACGCAGATGCAGGTTTGGGAAGAGCTGGCTTTGAGGAATTCCAGTACATTCCCCACATTATTCATTCTTGATGAAGTGACAGAATTTTTGCAGGCAAGCCACAGAGCACGGTCGCACTCCCAGGAATCCTGCTCTAGATAAGGGAACTCCACAACCCAGACACAAAGATTCTTGAGAAGATATGACAGGTCAGTTTTTTCTTTTTGTATGTGTTTTTTTTAGATTTTATTTATTTATTTTTAGAGAAAGGGGAAGGGAGGAAGAAAGAGAGGGGGTGAAACATTGGTATATGAGAGATACATCGATCAGTTGCTTCTTCATGCCCCCAACTGGGACCCTGCCCTAAAACGCAGGCATGTGCCCGGACTGGGAATCGAACTAGTGACCTTTCTGTTTGCAGGCCAACACTTAATCTACTGAGCCACACCAGCCAGGGCTAGAGTCAGTATTGCTATTTTAAGAGAGTGGAAAATGGACAGTCTTTTAGTTGCCCAGAGATTAGCATAATGCCTGACACATTTAGGCATCCAGGTGTTGTTTGAATAATGAATGAAGTAAGAGTGTCACTTAGGAAATTGTGAGTCCTGTGTGGCCTGCCGGGAGTCTAATAGAGTGACAATAGCTAACACATAGTTTCTATTATATGCTGGACACTGTTCTAAGAGCCTATAAAGTTATTAATTTATTTTACCCTTGCAACAACCTTATGAGGTGGATATAATTGTTAATAGGAACAGTTATTTTATACCCACTGTACACAAGGGAAAATAGAGACTCATGAAAATCAATGCACTTGCCCAAGATTGCCCAGCTAGCAGTGAAGCTGAATTCAAACTCGGGGCATCTGGCTCTGGAGTCAGCGCTCCTAACCACTGGACATGCTGCCTGACGGGAACAATGGAAGCAGAGTCTCCACTTATACTGTGCCCTCTTACAAAGAAATGCTTGAACATATGTATGGCCATGTGTGTTTTAGAAAATACACACCTACATCCTGGCAAGGGAGCACAGTCTGAAATTCTGGACTCTTCTATCTAGTTAGTGCCATAGAACTTGTGAATATACTGTCCCTTTCAAGAGAATAAGGAAGAAAAATCTCACAGCTCAAACTAAACAATAGCTTGTAAAAACACACCCTCACATACCAACCCGTAATAAAAAATTTATGAACCAGACTTTGGTTTGAGACCTTACTATGAAGAATAATGATGTATTTAACTTACAGAAGACTCCAGACTGTCTCCCTGAGTATAATCATGAACTCCATACAAGACAGAGTTGATGCAGAGCCAAACAGAAAGAAGTTCAGTTCATTACCATTTTTTGAAGCTCCCACCTGTATATAAAAGTGAAAATATGCAAACATAGGGTTTCTTGGTATGTAGGTTTTCTTAAATATTTATACAAATTAATCATTTAACTAGATAATTTGTAAACAAAGCATAATAAATGGAGAAAATATTGTGCTATTTAAAGGTAATTACAGTGTTTATAAAATTCTTTTTTTTTACATTTTGCATTTTTATTTTTACATTTTACAATTGCCAAAATGACACATTCTTACACTGGGAATCTGTAAAACACAAAGAAGCATTAAAGGGAGAAGTGCACTCAAGTTATGGAGACCCCCACTGTTACATACATAATATATATACATTATGAAAATGATATAATGCACTTCTAGAAGTATTTTTCACTTGGTAAAATATTATGTATGTTTTCCCATGTCACTATTTTAATATCTGCAGGTTATTACATCCTATGGATGTATTAAAAATTCATTTCTTTTTTATTGTTGTTCAAGTACAGTTTTCTGCCTTTTTTCCCCACCCCTCCCCACCACCCCAGCCCTCCCCACCTCCCTCCCCTGTTTCCACCCCACCCTTGTCATTGTCCATGTGTCCTTTATAGTTGTTCCTGTAAACCCTTCACCCTTTCCCCCTCTGATCACTGTCAGCCTGTTCTCAATTTCAATGTCTTTGGCTATGCTTTGCTTGCTTGTTCATTTTGTTGATTAGGTTCCTGTTAACGGTGAGATCATATGGTATTTGTCTTTCATTGCCTGGCTTATTTGGTTCAAAATATACTACAGAAGATGGCACTTGGTAATGGGACACAAGTTTAAAGTTGCAGGTAAGTGTAGTCTTTGTTAGTGTGGGTACAATCTCATTTGGAGATGAAATTTTGAGACCCTCTTGAAAATCACACCCTGAGCCAAATGACCTTCTTAGTACCCTAAGGTAGACCCTAGTGGAAGCTACGTGTGTCCCTCTTTCCCTCTTGTTGTCCCCTCCTTTCCCCTCCCCTTCCTTCCTCTTTTCCATTTATTTCACATTTCAGACGATATATCATTATATGTTCACCTGATTGAAGAATCTAAAAGTCTAAAAGTGATTACAATGAAGTCTCTCCCACCTGTGCCCCCATCACCCAGACAGTCCTCCCTTCCCCCAATTAATGACCAACTCCTTGAACAGTGTTCCGGAGACTGTTTTTCTGCATGCACAAATAAATACCAGTACACATCTCCTCTCCTCATAGTCAAATTCACAACATACTATAGATACCCCTCTGCACTTTGGTTTCTTCATGTAATAATGTGTTTTTGAGATCCTTCCAAACCAGTATACGAGAGCTACCTCAATATTTGCATAGTTTTCCATTGTATGCTTGTTGAAAAATATATTTGGGCAGTGCCCTGTAGATAAATGTGTAGGTTTCAGCCCACTATTTTATTTCATACAATGTTATAATGCCAAACATTCCCATTTATCATTTTATTGCTAAAGGAAAACTTACAGAAAAAATAGTGAGACCTCAATTCAAACAATTATCTTCAATGATGTATAAAAAACACATTCCTACTGAAGTTTTCTAACTGAGTACCTACCTGGAATGGCCTCATGCTTCTCTCCTCCCTTTCTGTTACCCAACTACTCCTAGGTTTCGTGTCTACTGTCATCTACTCTTAAATTTTGCTTTGGGCACTGGAAAATGTGACACAACCAGACGCTTGTAAAGCACTTGCAGAAGCAGAGTGCCTACCTGACCAAACGCTGGCTGCAGGTGCAAGGAGCCCAGGTGAGGCCAGTGGAAGAACCACCCCACTGAATGCAGCCCAAATTGCTGACTCATTCATCTGCTTCCTAACTATGTCTGTTTTCTTGCTGAATTCCTTCCACTGTTCACTTTAAATACTGGTGTTTCACAGAATCTGTTCTTCTAATACTGCAGTTTCTCTTTAGAAAAACACAACTACTTTCATATCTCAGCTAGTACCCATATGCTTACAGCTCTAAATTTGTATCTTCAGTCCCTATTTCTTTCCTGAGCACCACACAGCCAGCCATCTAAAAGGCACCCCAAACCCAACGTGTCTAAGTACAAAATTACCACCTTGCGTCAGAACCTCCTCCCTCCTGCATTCCTTTCTCAGTTATTGGCTTCATTTGAAGCCCAAGAGATGAAACTAGTCATTCAAACAGACATAAAATACTTTATTCTGTATTTCCACCCCTCTACTTTCCATCTCTATATTTTTACCTTAGTTTAGTCTCTGGTCATCTTCCACCTGACTACATTTTAAATGGCCTCCAACTCCAGAACAGGTGTCATAAACTGAAACACCTACAGGTTCCAGGCAAGTGACTTAATTAAATAAAACCGATCAGGTGTAGATATTCTGATGTGGTGCCAAACTGGACAACACGTGCTTTTATCAAGCATTTCCAGATCTTTAAAGTAGGTGCAGAACACGGGCTGCCAGAGTTAGCAGATTAAAATTCAAGACCCCCATGCAATATTTGGGACATATTTACACCAAAAAGTATTCATTGCTTAGCCAAAATTCAAATTGAACTGTGGGTCCTGTGTTTTCTCTAACAACCCTGCCCAGACACTATTTCCAAGATAAGGGGAAGGAAGGAAGAGGTGACTGGAAAAACACAACAATGAAGCTCAAAAGCTAGGCGGTAGTGTCAGGAAGGTTTCTGGTTGATCTTGGGAGGCAGAAACGTCAAAGCAGGGATGGTACCAGTAACCATGTTACAAGTTTGTGTAGTGGATACCAAATGGATTGCCCATTTATTGTGGGTTGAAATGTGTCCTCCAAAAAGGTATGTTCAAATCCTAAGTGCTGATACCTGTAAACGTGCCCTTTTTTGGAAATAGGGTCTTTGCAGCTGTATCCAATTGAACATGAGTTCATACAGAATCCACTAACTGGTATCCTTATAATAAGAAAGAAATTTGAACACAGAGGCACAGAGAGAAGAGTGCCACGTAAAGGCACAGGCAGAGATTGGAGTGACACAGCACACGCCGAAGAACACCAAGGACTGCTGGCACCCCATAGAAGCTAGAAGAGGTAAGGAAGGATTCTTCCTTCGAGACTTTAAACAGAGCATGGGCCTTGATTTTGGACTTCTAGCCTCCAGAACTCTGTGAGAAGTTCTGTTGTTTTTAGCCACTCAGTTGGTAGTAATTTGTTATAGCACCACTAGGAAACTAACCCCTAGGAAACTATAGCCTAACCCTCTTCCTTCGCAACCCACATGGATAGAGGGGATGCTTTCAGCATTAATTCTGGTATGTGGTTGGTCTGAGGCAGGAGTAACAGGAATAAAACCGGTTACTGTGGTAGAACCAGCGTCTCTTCCCCTGCTTTGCTATTATGAGATGTTGGCCCTTCTCCAGATAACTGGACCTCAACTACGTAAACTTGGGAACCTATGTGTCTGTCCTATTCCAAAGTCTGGAGATGCAAAGTTAGTCCACCTGCAGAGATGTGACCAGCTCTGATCATAAATGAGTTCATAGTTCCATTTTATCCTTGTGGCCCAGCACACATCTTTGCCCTTTGGTTTCTAAGATGGCCATCTGCCCTTATAATAAATTTGCACTTTCCCCTTAAACTAGCTTGAGTTGGTTTCCCTTAAGATCTCTCTCTTACCTCTGACCAGAAGACCCATCCAGCACAGTGTATAAGTGCCTCTGTGGAGAATGGAAAAGAGTCCATCTAGGTAGGTGTACTAATTTTCTAGGGCTGTGGTAATCAGGTATCACAAACTGGGTAAGGCTAGAAGCCACAAACTAGGTAAGTCCCAAATCAAGGTGTTGGCAGGGATGGTTCCTTTTGATAGCTCAGGGAAGGATTTGTTCCAGGGCGCTCTCCTTGGCTTGTCAATGGCCATTTTCATGTGTGTTTGCTGTTTTCTCTGTATGCATGTCTGTCTCCAAATTTCCAAACTTTTTATAAAAGACATCAGTCATATTGGACTAGAGGTCACCCTAATGACCTAATGACCTCATTTACACTTGATCACTTCTGTAAAGACCCTCTCTCCAAATAATGTCACATTCTGATGTACTGGGGGTTAGGACTCCGACATAGTCAACATATATATTTTAAAGAGGCACAATTCAACCCATAAGAGCAGGAGTCCCATGTAAGACTAGAAGTCCTGTGAGATTTACAAAAACATATTAAGATCAAACAAGGGGCAGGTTATTTTTGACAATGGCTCCACTTTGTTTTCAAAGTACAGTTGGGATTTAAGGTCAAAGAAAACTGTACCAACTCTAATGCCACCAAAGACTTAAGCACAGAAACTTGGCTTAATCCTCTTTGCCTCTCACACCACTCACTGCAACTGCAGTACTCTTAAAACACCCTCCTCAGACTTCAGAGGTTACACTGCTAAACTCACAAGGCTTCACGTTGTTTTGGTTACCATCTTTGCTTTTAAAACTTTTACATCTAAAGAGAGTTATCAATGAAGGGCAGGCCAGAATGCTGTTCAGGCAGGAGTTTGCAAGTTATTGGGGTGGCCAAAAAGTCCATTTAGTTTTTCCTATAAAATAAAAGACACATTTTTTTCATTTTCACCAATAACTACATTGATTTGGATATTTTGAATACGTCAGCTATCTCTTGCATGGTATAATGCTGATTGTTCTCAATTAATGTCTCAGTTTGATCACTAACAACTTGAACTGATCTACCTGACCATTAGCATTAGCTCATCGCCTAGCGAGAACTCTCCAGCACTAAACCTCACAAACCACTTTTGACACCTTTGATCTGTCACAGCACCTCCTCCATATACTGCACAAATCTTTTTGCATGTTTTAGTTATGTTTTTACTTTTGTTGAAATAATAAAGCATAATAAGCTGAAAATGTTGCCTATTTTCTTCCATCTTCAATATTAAAATGGCTACACAAAAATTCGTCCATTTCAATAAGTTTTTTAAATGCATGCTGATATGACAGCTGTTGCAAAACAATCTAACAAAATTATTTTGAATGAAGTTAAAGACAACTAAGCACTACTACAGCCACTTTATAGGGAAAAAAAAAACAAATGAACTTTTTGACCGACCCAATATTTTCAGGGTCAGAGGTAGATGTGGGGATCCTAGTCTAAATCTAATTTCCAGGAGTTGAAATCAACTTGAAACTTCACTTTTTTATATACTCATTTTAAATCTTCTCTGAAGATAGGTACATTTCTAAGAAATTTCTGTGACTCAAGAAATGCTGTATTTATAGAGAGACAGCTGAATGGAATGTCTTATAAATGTCTTCAAAGGGTTTCTAAATATCTTGACAGGTTCTCTAAGATTTTGTGTCTGCTCCTCAAATTTTAGCTGTAGAAACCTACTTAGACAAAACTCATGCTCACCCAGCTGACCTAAGACTGCAGTGTAAACCAGAATGTCATCTCTTATCCATGCAGGGGTGTCCAACCCATGGCCTGTGGGCTGCATGCCGCCCAAGATGGCTATGAATGCAGCCCAACATGTAAATTTACCTCTTTTTTTGCTCATCAGTTTTCCTTAGTGTTTGTGTACTTAATGTATCTTCTTCCAGTGTGGCCCAGAGATGCCAAATGTTGGACATCCCTGAACCACTTTGGGAAGACTGTACTCACGGGTGCCATTCAGGAAAGCCCCTTTGCACGAAGCCAGTGGATCCAAGTAGCAGCAGGTGTGAACCGTGATGGACACTGGGGTACACACTTCATCTCCCCTGCAGGACTGAAGCACACATTCCCTCAGCTGTGGAGGCTGTGATGGCTAACAGTCCCACCATCCTCAGCAGAAGAGCACCTCTTCACCCAAGTCCATGCCCTCATCTCAGAGGCAACCTGCATGCTTCACCTGGTTGATGCTGCGGTGCAAGCCTTGGTCCCTTGCTCTAATTCAGGGCAACTCTTCAGAGCCATCCCTGCTCCAGAAGTCCCTGTAGGACTAACCTAGACCTTTGTTATGGCAGCCTTGTAGCCTGAATTCTCCCTCTGCCACACACTGCTTCATTTATTACTCTAGAGGTATTAATTCTGAGAGCCCTCCAACAAATTTCCTGCACATAAAACTCCATCTCAGAGTCTGCTTCCCAGGGAACCTGGGAAAACTCATCACAAATGGAGGTTCTGGTACTGTCATTTTGACCAAACATAAAAGGGGTAATAAATATAATAATCATGACCACTACTATTTATTTGGCAAGGCCTGGTCAAGATCCTAGGGGTGAAAAAATAATTATAATCCTTCTCCTTCCTTCATGGAGCCTACCAGTAGATACTCTAACATAAAAACACAGGCACAGGGTAGAGATATCATGTGGAAGCTCAAGATGGGGTCAAGGAAGATTTCCTAGAGATGATGCCTTAATAGGGCTTTTGAGGAATTAGTAAGAGTTCGCCAAGGAAAGGTAGATGAAAGCATGAGCAATGGGGTCAGGCCCATCATAATTATTGCTTAATTCACCAAAATGTGGACTTGACCAGAAATACTTTTATGCCACCAAGTTCAGCTCCATCAGTAAACCAGTCACAATGATAAACGGAAGTAGTTAGCAGGTGGGTGGAGCAGCACCACAGTATTCTCCATGCTTAGGTCTTAAACCTTTAGAAATTAAGGAGAGAAGTGAGAGTGAAGAGGGAGGGCAGTAGTATCACCCTCCAATGTGTGGCTTTGCTGTGTTCTTTACTTAGATGCTGTCCTGAGATCTTCCTTCCAGCCATCTGTCGGTCCATTCCACATCTGTCAGTCCATTCCACATCTTTATCAAGGGGGTCATCAGGGAATCCTTCCCGCTGGACACATTCTTCCCTCTTTGTCCCAAGGTCTTGTCAAGTCTCCTTGCCCCTCTGTCCTACCTTAAGGCCTCCTTTATCCTTTCTAGCATATGACTCAGGTAACTAGGGAATTGGGGCCACCCAGTCTCCCCTTGGGAGAGAAAGGGCTTCAGGTCCTGTACTTGGGGGAAAGGGGTGGAGGAAACGGCTCCCTCGTTCCCCACCTGCGAGAGAAACATTCAGAAGTCAAACCAGTCTCCTTCTCACACTGGCCTCTTCTCACAGTATACCTCAGATGTTCTGGTATGCGAATGTTCTAAATTTTTCCTTCTCAGCGCAGGCTTGCTCTCTCTCTCTCTCTCTCTCTCTCTCTCCTCCCCCAGGAAGAGACATCCTGACACATGAAATAAGAGATGGAGATGCCCCAACAGAGAAGTGATGAGCCCGTGCTGAAACCCTGGTGTGGACTGCGAAGCCGTGGATTTTTCACACGACTGCTGTGAGGAGTGAGGGCAGGACAGAAAACCAACATGGGGAATTCTCCGCGTGCCGGTCCAGGGTTGTGCATTTTACACGGCTCACATCACCTAATTCTTCCAACAACTCTACGAAGAAGATCTGAATATAAACTTAAGAGCGATCCTTCTAAAACAATTCCACCAAAATGCCCTCAGCATGGAGAGGAGGGCCAGCTCCCAGCCTTGTGTGATCCTGGGAAGTAGCTGTGAACGGATGCTGTGAACAAACAAGAAACATGTATGTGGCCTCACGTTTCTTCTATAATTTCATTAAGGAATTTAGGCTTTGATTCCATATAATGTTTAGTATGTGTTTGAATTTTAAAAAGTGATGTTCTTTCCCCTTACATTCTCAGGTGAAACTGACATTCCAGAAAAAGAGTCCCTGTTTATGCTGTGGCTTCCTTCACCTTGCTGCAGGTGCATCACTGAGTAGACATCTGAGAGTCACCAGCAGTAAGCTTATGAAGGAACATATGTCAGCAAGTGGCAGGATGTAAGTTGCATGGGAGGAGAAACTGCCTGTCTTGTTTACTGTAGTATCCCCGGCATACCAAAGAGTGCCTGAACACCGCCAAGAGCTCAAACGATACTTATGGAATGATAACAAGAGGCACTTCCTGGAGTGTAGGCTTTTTGTAAATAGCTGGATCACTCTCTCAACTGCTGTCTCCGTTTGAAAAACTGATAAACAATCTGTGCAACTGCATACTGTGCAAATAGTGTCTGTATTGGTGTGGAAAGATAAGTCAGGATAAGTCTCAACTAGTCTTATTGCCCAAGTTAGGGACTTAGCCCCTCTCTTGTCAAAACTTAATTTTGATTCTTGTTTTCCTTTAGTGAGAAGGATATTGAGGACATGAGAAATAGCAGATGGATCAATAGACACTGCTGCTCCTTGGCTCCCTGTGACATGCTTCACTAGGCAATACACAGACATTAGCTGCACGGCTTCCGTCTCTCAGCCGGGGTGAGAGTCCACAACTATCCACACAGGGGCCTTGTTGCCTGTTTGAATCAATCCAGTTATTTTTTTTTCTAAGAAGATGGATCAGAGAGGGCTACTTGAGGTATTTCCCCCCTTTTATTATCTCCTCTAGGGCAGAAGTTATGGGCCTATAACAGTATCTGTTATGATCTGAATGTCTGTGTTCCCTCCCAAAATTCACACAGTGCACCCCTAAACCCCAGCGTGATGTTATTAGGACTTGGGCTTTTAGAAGTAAGTAGGTTTGGGTGAGGTCATGAGAGTGGAGCCCCCACAATGGGGTGAATGGCCACAAAGAAGAGGGAGAGAACAGAGCTGTCTCTCCACCGTGTAAGGACACAGCTGGCAGGCAGCCATCTGCAACCCAGGAGTAGAGTTCTCACCAGGAACCAGGTCTGTTGGCACCCTGATCTTGGACTTTCATTCTTCCAGAACTGTGAGAAAATAAGTGTCTGTTGTTTAAGCTACCCAGTCGATGGTATTTTGTTATAACAGCCCAAACAAAGACAACATCAGATCACAAATCTCTTTTTGCCTTGTTTTGAATCCAAAGGGATATTTCCTCCTATTTTCTATACAACTGTTAAAAGAAGACAAGCATGATTTCTAAACAAAAGGACTTCAAGAAGGGGATTTGTTGATGTTACTTGTTTTCTTTCCTTAAAGCAGCAAAGCATTCTTTCTTTGGGAAAGGAGCACCATAATTGTGGTATAACTTAATAACAAGAGACAATTGTCACAGTGTGTTCATCTCAACTGCTTCCCATGACAAGGAAAACGTATTACCTGGCCTTGCCGTGAAAGATTTTCTCAAGGGTTTCCCATAACAATGGCCTGTTGTATTTTTTAAAAGCAGGTTATGAAACAATATGTATTATAATATTATATTTTTATAAGTATTTAGAGGTATAAAATGTTCTGGAAGGACACACTCAAGGTTGTTAACAGAAGTTACAACTACATATCAAATTATGTATTTTTTCTTGTTGCTTATCTAAATATTTTAATTCTCGTGCTATCAAAAGGTACGCTTTTCTAATAAGACAGTTTTGTAATAAAGTGTTTCAACCAGTAAAATACCCCAAGATTTTTAAAAGCCACATAAACATTTTCTGAGAATAGCAAAATTGCACTTAGAGTGTATGCTTTCAGAAAGAGGTAAGAAAATTAACATTTATTAAGTACTTGCTATGTTTCAGCAATTCTTCAAGGTTAATGCTATTATTTCCATTTTACAAATGAGAAGTCTGAGGTTCACAGAGGTTACATAAATAGTCTACATCGTAGAACCAGGACAAAGCAGAGCCAGGATTAAAGCAGATTCACCTGGCTGGTGTAGCTCAGTGGATTGAGCGTGGGCTGCAAACCAAAGTATCGCAGGTTCAATCCCCAGTCAGGGCACATGCCTGGGCTGCAGGCCACAGCCCCCAGCAACCGCACATTGGTGTTTTTCTCTCTCTCTCTCTCTATTCCCTCTCTAAACCCCTTCCCTCTCTAAAAAAATTAAAACATAAAAACTTTATTAAAAAAAAAAGCAGATCCATCTGATCTCAATGGCCACTCTCTCCACCTAACTGGACAGTTTCCAGCACAACATAATAGAAAGTGCTGGAGACCTGGTTTTACTCATCACCATTCATGGCACCTGTATACAATAAACAGGCCATCAATAATGGCTGCACCTATGTTTGTTCCTGAGCCAAGTTCTGTTCTTACAGCTCAGGGAAGGAGTAGCACCAAGTCAGGCTCACTCACCCTGAGCAAAGACAATGTCTCAGACTCTTGTGACAGCATCAGTGCAAAGTGCTGTGTCTTTCAAAACTAAGCGTAGTTTACATTCTTTCTGTTTGAGGTGAAAGCCCATTAAAGCTCTTTAATCATTCTGAAATACACATGCTCTTAAGGGAAGCATCTCTACGTTATGATCAACTGACAACTGCCCTCTTATTTTAACAACTGGCAAAACATCACAGCATTGCCTCCATTGTCCTTTGTTTTCCTGTCCTACTGCCTGTTTTTTCAAGCATGAATATGACTTTGATTCCCATCACAGCAAGGAGCTATGGGCAAGTTATTTACAATCTCTCTCTGCCGTCACATCACTTCTGTGAAGGGCGTAATTGCTAAACACTGTTTTCCCATCATTACAAAGGACACAGTAGGGCACCGCCTGCTGTATCTCCTGGAATAAGTTTGGCAAAGTGGCAAGTGCAGCCTTGTTGGCAAGGAGTCAATGTTATAGGTGGAAGAGAACCAAACTCTGAACAGAACGTGGATGAGCGCTGACATTTAGGGAGGGAGAAAACTATGTGAAATATGTGATGATGGAGGGAAAGTACCTGCATTACGACAAGGACTATTTATGAAGCTCCTAGAACAGACAGAACCTTGGGCCAAGTGCTCCGCACGTGCTACGTGATTCATTCCCACAAGCAGGAGCTGATCCAAGTTGTGTGAGTCTCTGAAGACTACACACTTTGGGGTGGGGACAGGGGTGTTTTAATTACAAAATTAAATATATAACATGCCTAAGGCACCCCGTTGAGGGGCCCATATTAGTCAGGTGTCCTGATACTTCAAGTCCGTAGCTTCATGGTAAACCCATAAGCCCTCTCAAGTAGTGTTATCCATTCTAAATATAAGGAAGTTCAACTAGGTTAAAAAACTTGCCAAGTCACAGAGCTACCAAGTGGCAGAGCAAGGAATCTAACCAGGCTCTGAAACACTTAAAGAATTGCTTAGAGCCCTCACATAGGCAATTCATGAGGACAAACTCCCTTGAAATGCAGTGTGACACCTTGATGTGGTTCTGAGAGTTTCCCGGCAGGGCCCAGCCCCTGCCAGAACCCACAGGGCTTGGGCGTGCGGAGTCCTGCCAAGACCTCTGCAGGAATCTGCATCTTTGAGATTCAAAGAGTCTGTAAGGAAAGCCGCTGTTGAAGGACAAAGACGGGTTTTAATGACTCTGCTCTTTGTATATAGAAACCAGAACGTAGGGGAGAAAAGAATATTTTTAAGACACACATTTAATCTAGCCACAGTCCTGGATAAGAAGATACCAGCATTCGAAGCTGGATGCAGCAATGAGCTGGTAAACTGGGTTGCGGGGCAGAGGGAGTCGCATTATATAGCATTTGCCAATTTCTATGATGTCACTATTTCCATATTCATAAGATATAGGTTTCAAGATTCTCATGGTTGTCTGGCTCACACAATTCCTGAATATTTAGCAATCAAGTTCTTACAAGCAGGTACACGTTGCTCCAGCACACCATTAGGGGGATGTTCGATTTGGCCTGGAGGGTCATCCCCTCAAGTCCTTCAGTTATGAAGATCTTCCTTAAAACTCAGAGGCGAATATTCTTGGCTCTGAAATCTTGTTTAGTTGGCACTACAGAAAGAGGACTTGAGATTAATTGGAAGGTCTCAAGAATGTCAGGGAAATGAGCTAGGGGTGTTTCATGACCCATTACAAAATCTTCCTGCAGCATGTGCTCAACTACCGATGCGGACGTGAACCCTCAGCCCCTTTCCCTTCCTAGTCACTGCACTCACTGACTCCCCCCTCAAGCCTTTGCTATCCATGCCCCTCACCCCATAAGTAACTACAACAGCCAATGATAGGACAAGTCAAATCTCATTTTAAGGATAGGTAACTGAGGCCCACGGAAAAGGAAAATGATAAAGGTCATATAGAATTTTAAATACTAGAAGTGAGACTAAAACTTAAGTCTTCTGACTGGCTGTCTGTAATCCTTTCCAACACCTTGCTGTTGAAGTGATTAAATCTTACAATAAACATTGCATGATGATATCTTTGAACATTACCTTATCTTTCACATTAATTTTGTAACAACATCAGGAAGGTGATAATTTGGCTGCTTGGGACCCTGACTCATTTCCTCTGCCTCTGCCTTTTCCAGTTTTCTGAAGCTGTAAACACTCATCACTGCACAGGAAAGCTCAGGGCTGCCCAATTCAAAGACCACCTAGATTCCCCACAAAAAACAGAGCCTGAGAAAGGGGTAGTTTCTTTTGAGACATAACGCAAGGAAGCAGGGAAAGACAATACAGGTGTGTATCAAACTCTGAGCAACTGGGACTTACCCCACTGGGACCCCATGAGGAGTCTTGTAGAAGGCCTCTCAGAATTAGGGGGTTCCAGCAATGTGGTACTTTCCGTGGGAAAACCAGGAAAGTCCTGGGAAAACCAGGACAAGTTGGTCCCCCTATCAGAATCATCCGCCCAACAACCAGAAGAGAGAAACATTTCTCCAGTAGCTTCCATCCTTCAGCAGTTAAGTTATCCCATGAGATGCCAACGCTCTTGCACTTGCCCGTGTGAATTTCGCATGTGTGAAACTCAAAGCTCATTTCTTCATGTGTCCAAAGAAGTGGAGTGAGAGTAGCCCCAGAGCAGAATGAGACATAGCGCACCTGAGGTGAGGTACTCGGGCCACTGGTGCTGCAGCAGGGGCGGGGTAAAGTCAGGCTGACAGGAGGTGCATAAGGAGCACCCAATGTGGAGCATGAAAGGTGTGCAGGCAGCCTTGGTCCCTGGGCAGATGGGAGTTCATTACCAAGTGACCCCTACAGAACCCAGAATATGGTGACTACTAAAGGTGCTATGCAGGTTGCTGGGCTGTCCTTTCATGGATCTACCCGGGACAAGATGTTGACCCTTACTGGTTTTCCTTCCTTTCTTCTTTCCTTCCTCCATCACCTCCTCTCTTCCTCCTTCAACAACTACTTAGTGAGTACCTGCACTATGGGACTATGCTAGGTACTTGAGATATAAAAATAACTTAACACAATCTTTGTCCTCAAGAAACATGTAGATGAGGACAATCATTAAACAGACATAATACAATATGAGTCTGGCAGAGAAATGAACAGGAGGGGAAGGAGAGAAGGGAGGCTGCACATGGGAACTAACATCTAAGGGTGATGATAACAACAACAACAACAACAACAACAACAACAACAGGTTACTATGGTGGGATTCTGACTATTTACCAGGCAATGTTTTAAGGTCTTTATAGAACTAACACATTTAATTCGTACAACAGCCCTACGGAAGAGATGCTATTGTTATCTATGATTCAGAAATGATAAAGCTGAACTATTGAAAAATTAAGTAAGTTTTCCAAGGTTCAAGGCCCATTGCCACAGACTGATAGCTATTCACCAAAACCTATTATCTCTTCTTCCTAGGCACAAAGCTAGACTACATTTCCCAGCCTCTTTTGCAATTAGGCATAGCCAAGTGGATAAATTCTAGCCAATGAAATCTAAGCAGAAAAAAGGTGCACTGCTTCCAGGCCAGACCCATTAAAACTTCCCATGCACACCCCCTGGCCATTTGCTTTTCCCCTTCTGAATGTCTGGAACAGGTAACATTAAAAAGAATACATTGAAAATGGCTACATCTCCATCAGTCTGTGTCCCTAAGTAGAGGAGGGTTTGTCCCACTGATTGTTCAACAGCCCAGCTCTGTTATTTGAGCAAAAAAACAAACAAACACTTTAATTGTATTTGGGCCATTGTAGATCTTTGAGACGTTTTTGTTATGGCAACAATTGCACCTGTTTTATGAGTCTATTAATGCAGAGAATCTACTTTAATTAATATAGACACATATGAAAAAGTGGCAGAAAATTAGGTTGAAAAGGTAAATGAAGGCTGTCATATAAGATATAAAAAGTTCTTATCTATTTTTTCCACAAGGACAGATGAAGATGGAGCATAAGTGGGGAAAATGGGTGGCTATATATCCAGTTGAGTAAAGAGATTTGAGGGAGGTCGTCCCTAATATATACTTAGTTTCTGAGCAATAAGAAGCAGAGTTGTCTTCTCAAGGGCATGCTGGGTGTGCAGGCATGTGGGCAGGCTGGGAGGGAGCAGGTTGAGAGCACGAGAAAGATGGTGAAGGTTGATAACGTGAGAGGCAGCCATTAAGAGACCAGACTTGGAGCCTGTATCAATCAGCTTCCTAGAGGGAAGACAAATACAATTCTAGGCCTGTCAAGTAGAAAGGAGATTAGGTGCTTACCTGAGAAGCAAAGGTAAGGG